CTCATGGGGGAATCAGGTTCCCGGCTGGAGGCGCTAGCCTCATGATCACCCAAACGATTGGTGGGCCTCCAATGGGTGGGAAGTGCTGGTGTGAGTCAAAATATAGCCAATGGGTCTCAGAATCCCCCTTCTCACTGCATGACCTGGACCTGGTGACTTCCCAGGTGTCAGAATTGGTCAGGCCTCGCTAGGGAAGCAGAGGCTTAGAAGAGGGGCCTAGGGGGTCATGTGGTTTTTATAAGAGGGTAGGTAGTTTTTTGGATAAGTTGGTCCCAAGCTGTGTAGGGCTTTAAAGGTCCACACCAGCCCCTTGGGTTGTGCCTGGAAACAGCCAGGGTGTCATTGTAGATGGGCCAAGGCTGGAGTGATACGGTGCTAACATTTTGTAGAACCTTCCGGTGTTTTGTCATTAGGAAGCCATTTTGTGGTGGCTCCGCCAACCTGTTCTCAAAATTCCAAAAACACCTGCTGATTCAACAAAGTTGGGAACTCCCAGTGTACACAGGATCATACAGGGATACAGATTTGTTGGAAAAAGGAAAAAATCTTCTCTGCTCCCAGGAAAACGTTTTTTTTTAAAAAAAATCTGTTATATTCTTACAGTAAACTCAACACACATGGCTCAGCTCTGCACACGCAGCTGGGAACGTAGCTGGGCTCCCATAACCTGTTGGGGTTTTCTTAATTTTAAAGTAAATCAGCAGAGTATTAAAGAGGCAGAGTCCATGGTGTGCTTAAAATAATAAAAGTTTACTACAACCTAGCATGGGGAAAAGGTACATGGGATGTAAAATAACAAAGCGCTAATGATCCTACATCCTTACAGCTAGACTGAAAATGGCAGAAGAGAGACGAAGACTAACTTCTTCTTGCTCAGAACAAGGAACCATAAAATGCTAATACTTGGCACTCTGGTCTCCAATCAGAACAACAAACTAGATCTGAAGTTGCCGGGCTTTCTAACTCTCTAAACAGATTGGTTACAAACAAACATGTGACTTAACAAACATCATTAACCCAGTAAATACTGAAGAAGTGTTTTAACTTGTAACACCCAACAAGATTTCTTAAGGTACATGTGTTCCAGGTCATGAAAGGTTTCTCAGTGTTACCACCATCGTGGGTTCCCTCCCCAATCAACAGAGCATATGTGCACCAGCCTGTGCATATAATAATATTTCACTTTAAAAACAAAACAAAAAAACCCTGAAGATGCATCCATGAAACTGGCCAGGCTTTTCATGAGTATATACATTTTGATTCAAAGTTCAAAGTTCAAAGAGCGAGGGAAATGTACGGGCTGCCAGATGCCCATGGAATTGGGTACAGTGATTGCTATACTCCCGCCCTGCACTTTACAAGTCTCTCCCAGGCTTTCTTTTCCTAAGACTCCTGCTGTTCAAAGCTCACCTCAATAGGTTGCTTGCCTCATTGAACAGGAACCAAGAGGAAGTCCATAATGTGATTAAGTAGGAACCGTCCAGCCTTCTGAACAACCCCAAAGCAATGATGAAGCAAACTTCCATATTCCTTCCAGCTCTGTCCTCTTTGTCTCTTTTTTGTCCTTTCCCATGCCGTTACAAGGAGGAATGTACTGGCTGAACATTTCTCCTTATAACTCCCCAATGAAAAGGGTTCAAGACATTTCCACCATTTCCACCACCCCCCCAATTCAAAACTGGGAACAAGTGCATTGTTGCAATAAATCTTTATAACACTACAGAGTGAAAGCTATGACTGATTTTTTAAAAGGCTGGGAAAGCCCTCTCCTGGTATGGGTGGTTTCGGGGGGAATGGTGGTCATGGAGGGCTGAGGCAAGGAAAATACAGGGGAGAGTTCCATGTGGAATCATCTCCATGTGGAAGCTGTCCTGAAGGAGCTGTGGGAAAGCAGGAACAGGAAAGGAAAATAATTGGGTGGGTGAGAGAAATGGAAAAATAGGTAGCTGGTTAATCTGCAGGCTTCCAGTAGATGCTATGTCTTTGGAACACCCATTTTATACTATCTCCCATCAAGTTTGGTGTTCCTATATAACAAAGAGTCTTGTGACATCTTGAAAACTCAAATATGGATTGTGGCATAAGTTTTCATGAGCCTGAGCTGACATTTTGTCAGATACATGCAGCATTACATTCAGTTAGCAGATACATATACGCACAGAAAAGGGAGAGGGTGACTACAAAGATATGGATTGTGGCATAAGTTTTCATGAGCCCGAGCTGACGTTTTGTCAGATACATGCAGCGTTACATTCAGTTAGCAGATATATATACACACAAGACTAGTTACAGAAAAGGGAGAGGGTGACTACAAAGAGAAGTCAGGAGGCTCAGTCTTCTAGGGGTACATCTACAGGGCAACAATTCTGCATGTTGCAAGGCGACATTGCCCCCCCACCCAGGACTTTTTCAGGACTTTAAAAACATGTCACATCACTATAGCATTATGCTTATGCTGATATGTCAGTTCCCCATTTAATTTACAGAAACATGTCAATTACATTGCTCAATAGGTCAGTTACATTGGTAGCTGATATTTTGCTATGGCTTAAACTTGCTAGCTGATTTGTTAATTATTGATTTATTTTTTAAAAGCTGGAAGAGGATGGTGACTGCCAGGGACAGAGGCGAGGGAAATGGTGGTGATCCCATGCTGAATAATGCACTTTCAACCCACTTTTAATAGGCTTCAGTGATCAATTGTGAGTGAACTTTGCTGTCCCACATACTAAAATCCAGTTGCAAAGTGCATGGAAACCAGATTGAAAGAGCAGTATTCAGCGTGTGTGAAAGGGCCTCTTGTGACTGGGGCCTGCAAAAATATGCACTTTCATGTCCACACAGTGTGCAAAGGTACAAAGGTACCAAACCAGCAGGGGAATACACTGCTTTCCCTGTTCGCTCTGTTGATTATCATCCTGTAAATGTTCTCTCTGCATGCAAGATGATTTGGGAGGGAAAGGGTTAAGAGAATTCTCTCACTAGAAGAGGAACCAAAAACATTGAGACAAAAAAAGAAACTAAAATATAGCTATGCACATAGTGCCAATAGACAAATTATCATATATAATGTAATAATACATTCAAAAGTGCTAAACTATCATTTAAAAACCACATTCCAATGGTTTTGCAGCTGGCCACACCCTCTCATCAGTTACATGTTGAGCCTCTTTGGCCCTTGCTTGCCTTCTGTTCCACCTTATATAGGACCTCTCTCCTTCTCTCTCTCCCACCTGGGTTTGGAGCTGTAGCTGTATCAAGTTAACCATGGAGATTCACTGCCGCAAGAGGTGGTGGCGGCTACAAGCATGGACAGTTTCAAGAGGGAATTAGATAAGCATATGGAGCAGAGGTCCATCAGTGGCTATTAGCCACACGGTATAGATAGGAACTCTCAGGATGGGGTAAGGGATGCCTTGTATTCTTGGTGCTTGGGGGGGCAACAGTGGGAGGGCTTATAGTGTCCTGGCCCCACTGATGGACCTCCTGATGGCACCTGGTATTTTTTACCACTGTGTGTCACAGTGTTGGACTAGATGGGCCATTGGCCTGATCCAACATTGGCTTCTGTTATGTTCTTATGTTAAGTTAATCTGTTCACAATAGGTTAAATGTACCTACATGAATATGTCATGTAAGACGTGCTTCTATTTTTGTAAGTAAAATTTCTTTCTCTTGTTACCCCTGGAGTCAGTTCATCTTTGTAGTTTGTTTGAACAGAATTTTCTCTTAACAGAGAAACATGGAAGATCAGGGATACTGCGTAAAGCTTCCATGCTTCCAAGGCAATCGATCTATTTACATCTAACCCAATACCTGGTGTGGTTAGGTCCTGCAAAATGTGCAATTTTCTGTCCATGCAGCGTTCAAAGGTACAAAGGTACCAAACCAGCAGGGCAGGGAATATGCTGCTTTCTCCATTTGCTCTGTTGATTACCATCTTCTCTCAGAGATTAACTAGAGGATAGAGGAAACAGGAGTAAAGTTTATTTCATTGGCACTAGAACTTTGTGACAAAAGTCTTGAAGCCATCACGAACAATGTTCCCTCTAAGCTGTGGAGTCAGTTTATTTCATTGGCACTAGAACTTTGTGACAAAAGTCTTGAAGCCATCACGACAGATTGATTTTAATATGTAAAGCTATTCTAAAATTTCACTGTTGTAACCTTTTGTTGTGTGACTCTTCTGGGGGGTTTTGATTTGTGTTTCTATACGTATTGCGGTTTACTCCATCTGTAAATTCGTTGAACAGCTTGGGGAAGTCTGAGAGACTGTTTGGCTTTATGGACAATTTTACTGAGAATAAAGAATGATTCAGGGATGAAGTTATCGGGATGCCTCAAAAAAGGAAGAAAGAAAGAAACAGGAGCAAAAGTTCCCTATGGAAGCAACCTGGGGCAAAGTTGAGTCGTGTTACATTTCAGTACAAATGAAAAGGAGATCTAATCAAAATCTAGATGATCTATCAGGATGGATGTGTGGAGACCACCCCCAATGGCTGATGAGCTGGCAAAGCAAGCCAGTGTGGTATGGTGGATAAGAGTGCTGGACTAGTATCTGAGACACCCAGGTTCAAATCCTCACTTGTGCTATGGAAGCTGGCTGGGTGATCCGGGGCCAGCCCAGTCACACTCTCTCAGCCTAACCTACCTCACAGGGTTGTTGTGAGGATAAAATGGAGGAGAGAAGAATGATGTAAGCTGCTTTGGGTCCCCATTGGGGAAGAAGGTGGGGTAAATACGATGAATAATGTACTTAAACCTGTAAGAAGAGACAACTGTTCTCCATACAGACTTTCCCGCCTCCAGTCCCTGGTGTGTTCTAGTCTGACAGTGCCAAACTGGTATACAAGATCCAATTCATCCCGTTCTTGTGGAATGCTGCCTTTGAAACTTATCTGGCTATTTTGAAGTCTGTTATGGAGCAATCAGGACGTTTCAAAATTCTCTTGCTGGGGTTTTGTATGAGAATACTTTTTGGCCTCTTCCTTCTCTTGTAGAAAGCCAGAACACAGGCAGTAGTGGGAGCACCACAAAAGCAGAAGCCAGCAGCTCCAAAGCACGGAAAGAGCGCACGGCCTTCACCAAGGAACAGCTGCGGGAGCTGGAGGCGGAATTCGCACACCACAACTATCTGACGCGGCTCCGGAGATATGAGATCGCGGTGAACCTGGACTTGACTGAAAGACAGGTAAATCTCCTTGTCCGTGGCCAAGCTAGGTCCATTGCTGTACCCCTTGGGGCCTTTTCTGCTTTAGATGATACACTGTGCTGTAGTGCCGAACAGATTTTCCTGTGAACCAGGAGGCCCTTGGTTCAAATCAAACAGAGAGGTAGTGTTGAATAGTAGCTAGAGTGCAGAATAGGATCTGGGAGAACCAGGTTCAAATCCCTGTTCTGCCATGGGAGCTCGCTGGGTGACCTTGGTCCAGTCACATGCTCTCAGCCTAACCTACCTCACAGGGCTGTTGTGAGGATCAAATGGAGAGGGGAGAATGTTGTAAGCCGCTAGAGGTCTGCAGCGGGGAGAAAAGTGGGATATAAATGAAGTAACTACAAATCCCAGCTCTACCATAAACTCACAAGGTTGCCTTAGGCAAACCCCTCTCCCTGCATCCCCCCACAGGCAATAAAGAGGAAATAATCATGGCTTACCTTGCAGGGCTGTTGTAATGATTACAAGATGATGCATTAGAGGGCCTAACACCTGAAAGCGTTACACAGAACTTTCCCCCCAGTGGTGGCACTGACATTATGGAATGCCTTCTCCCCTTGAAGCCTGATTGGTTCCCTCCGTTGCAGCTTTCAGAAAGGTTGACCAATCATATTCGGACAAGCTTTTGGTTTAATTTGCAACTGAATGTTTGTGGGTGTTTTTTTAAAAAAGGTGGTTATTGCACGGAGGCAGGGATGTGAGGCCAGTGTACTTGGGTACACTCTCCTTCTGTTCTCATTGACTGAACACATGGAGGAATCATGTGTACAGGGCTGGTGAGTCAGAGTATTGGTCTATCAAGGGAAGTCTTGTCTACCCTGACGGCCAGCAGCTCTCAGCGCGAGCACTTCGGTCCGGGACCCAACATCTCCTGGCAATGCCAGGCCCCAAAGAGGCCAGGCTGGCCACTACCAGGGCCAGGGCTTTCTCGGTGGCGGCTCCTATCTGGTGGAATGAGCTCCCGGAGGAGATCCGGGCCCTGCGGGACCTTGTGCAGTTCCGCAGGGCCTGTAAGACGGAGCTCTTCCACCAGGCGCATGAGTAAGAGCCACCACTACCATCATCATCATTCCATCTTCACCTGGCCCCAGATGAGGGAACATCAGTGCTTCACTGGAGCAGACGATGCTGAACAGTTGAAATATGCCATCTTTGAAATTTCATGTTGAACATCTTGAGCACTTTAGTCAATAACTTGTTAAGAATGTTTTATACTGTTGGGATTTTAAATGGTTTTAGTTATGTTTTATATTGGCATTTGCCCCTATGTAAGCCGCCCTGAGCCCGCATTGCGGGGAGGGCGGGGTATAAATTGAATTACATAAAATAAATTTAAAAAAGGTCAGTCTTGTCTACCCTGATGGCCAGCAGCTCTCAGTATTTCAAATAGAGGTCTTTCGGACCACCTACCGCCTGGAAATGCTCAGGATTGAACCTGGGGACTTCTACACGCAAAGCAGGGGCTGTATGACTGAGCCGCAGCTCCACCCCTCTAAGACTGAGTGGACAAGCAGCCTTATGCTGCGTCTGATCCTTGGTCTGTCGAGGTCTGCTTTGCCTACTCTGGCCGGCAGCAGCTCTGTTGGATTTTTAAAATTGTAATTCAGCAGAGTTAAAAATAGTTTAGCAATGCCAGAGTAAAATAGGGACCTTCTGTATGTGAAGCAGATGTTCTACCAATGTGCCACTCCCTTTGATTTCCTGAGGCACTGGCGGCATCAATGGGACTTGCCTTTTCCTCATCTAGCTGTGGCACTGGAGGAGGTAGTCGGCATGGCTGATGCCCTTTATCTCCCAAAGCTGTGCCACTGCAAGGCAGGTGTGAGTTTAGACCCTGAGGGTTCTGGCTGTGCCTCTGGGGCTCAGTTTGTACCCAGCCAGCAGCAGGGCAGGTGAAGGCCCTAGGCAGAACCTTCTAGATCTTTGGTACGGCTAGGCAAAGGTGGGGAAAGGCCTGCGGTGCTATTTGGAGGAGTGAAATTCCCTACCTGCAAGAGTGCAGAGGGAGAAGGCTTGGGAAACAGCATTCCTGACTCACTGCCGGTCTCTTTTTCTTCTCGTCCAGGTGAAAGTGTGGTTTCAGAACCGCCGGATGAAATGGAAGCGTGTGAAGGGCGGGCAGCCGGTCTCACCCCAGGACCACAACACGGAGGACGCGGACTCTGCTGCCTCCCCAAGCTCAGAATAGCCCCTTCTGGGAGGGCTTGGGAAGTCTGGCGCAGCGACAAAAGGAGCGGAACAGCTGCTGGTCAGATTTTTGCCAGGAGCATGTTCACTTACGACAGAGCGTGCTCGGTAGCAGCGTCTGAAGCCCTTTGCCCTCACTATCTGCCCAGATGTTTCTCCTCCCCAGACTTTGCAATGGGATGGTGACTAAAGAGGGTGTAAGGAGCAGCCTGGAGAAAAGCCAGGGTTTCCTTTTCCATGTGAAACCAGACTCGGTTGTAAATTTTGTTTGCAAGATGCCAAAAAGGAGCAGAATGGTGCAGGGATAGATTCTTAAAATGGAAGACACCCACAATATTTTTAGGATAATAAGGTCAATCGGGAAGTGCCCTCGCTGCCCTCCAAACTTAATATTCCTCTGCAGGGCTCCAGGGGAAAAATGGTGCTGTATGTTTTTGAAGAAGAAACTAGTTGTGCCTGGTGCTGATTGGCTAGCTCCTGTGCTGTCAAGAAACACAGAGAGACCTACTCCACAGCAGTTTTCCCATTTTTTTTAAAGTTGTCTTTTCAAAATCTCATATGGTAATGAATGTTGACATGGCAATTTTAAAAGGCAGGCAAAGCACTGAGAAAAGGGCATGACATAAAGCGCTTAGCCAATCTGAGTTTGTAATTTCAGTTATGAAGCCAGCCTTGTTTGGCTGTTGACAACCTTTCTGTGAGCTCTAGCTTGTCTACTTTCACTATAAGTGGCTCTGATGAGGCAGCTCCAGGCTTGGTCTACTATGGCAGGAAAATGAGATACTAAGACTGAATTGGCTGCTGGTGAGAGGGTGCTATTTTTAATGCTCCTCCAAAAGGGGGGCTATGCACTCACTTCCCTGCTGTGCTAGTTTTCTACTTGCAAGGATTTTTACAAAAAATGCGATGAAGTGTTTAAAAATGTTACTCCTCTGCCCAACCTCCCTTTAATATAGTACACTTTGGTCCTGGTCACATGGGAGGATATGCCACGTGAGAGGGATGGATTGGGGGCACATCAAGCAGGCGTGATCACACTGCAACATCTGGGAAGCAGCGCGCACCCGTCCCTGATCCGTCCCTTCCAGGCAAAACTGGGCATAACCCCCCCCCCAGAAAACACTACTATCTACCTGCTGCAGGGACAGCCGTCTGATCGCCGGCGCGCCCGTCTCTCCCGCAGCATGGGAGGTCCTGCCGAACTGCACATGCACACGCATGCACAGCGGGCTGGCCTCACTCTCCGGTCTGTGGCTTCCTCCTGGCATCTGATCGTGCCGGGGAGGACCTGCGCGGCAGCTGGGGGGATCTGTCTGATCCCGCCGCCGCGTGTCTCTTTTGGTGTGGCTCAAAAAAGCTGCACTTTGGCCGTGCCTATTTTCCCAGTGTGACCGGGGCCTTTGTTCTATGGTTCCTTTCAGCTGCTTGTGGACAGGTTTAGAGGGAGCTCTGGAGGAGGCAACCGAGGCATCGGTCTTGGGTGGTAAAGCTGTGTCCAAGCTACACCAGAGCAGACTGTATGGACAGCCTCACATGATTGCTCTCCCATATTGGAAAAGGAAAGGCCTGCAGGAAGAAAACTAGGACCCTGACATTAAGGGTTCTCTATGGGAGGGCGGGTGTATGGAAATGCAAAATATTTGCAAGAAGCTCCACTGTGATGCATTGTCTCAGGTCTCATAGCTTGGCCTAATTTCTGGAATGTGATTGAGGAGTTGTCCATGATCCCTGCAAGGAAGGAAATAATTCTTTCTCATGAAAAGAAATAGAATTTACCAATTCAAGGTAACAACAGGAATGATGGAGACAGTATGGTGTAGTGGTTAAGAGCGTGGACTCTAATCTGGGAGAACCAGGTTTGATTCCCCACTTCTCCACATGCAGCTGCTGGTGTGACCTTTGATCAGTTCTCTCAGAGCTGCTCTCTCAAGAGCAGTCCTTGAAAGAGCTCTCTCAGCCCCATCTACCTCACGGGGTGTCCTTTGTGGGGAGGGGAAGGGAAAGGAGATTGTAAACTGCTCTGAGACGCTGAGTGAAGGGTGGGCTATAAATCCAATCTCTTCTTCTTTTCTTCTGTTCCCTGAACACAGAGCCTTACTTTAGGTGAAGTCATTCAAAAGCGAAGGCCCTGGGCACTGCACTTTGGGGGACCCCTTGCTTACCCAAAGAAGCCACAGATTGTCTGAGCAGAGGGATATGTGGGCTGTCCAGTTGACAGGGTCCCAAACGCTGTCTCAGCAAATGTAGGGAGGTTTTGAGGGCTGTGCTTGAGGAGGGTGTAATTTGGAAAGGATGGGACATCAGTTCCAGGTGACACTCTAGGCTGCCACCCATAGCTACTGTGGTCTTTACCACTGAGAATTCCTAGAGTGTCACTATGTGGAGGCCATTTTTTCTCCCACTTGTCCATACCTTGGGGGCTGAGGCAGGTAATTCCTTGCCTTTGGTGGATAAATGGGGGGTGGGGAGGGCCTTACCAGTTGACTGGCAGTAGTTGAAAGCATAAAGCACTGCCTCAAACCACAACCTGTCACCTGAACAGACTTGTCTGTGTGGGGTCTGCTCCTCGTGATCAGTGATGGCTTGAGAACAGAAGTCTCACAAGGCTGGGAGGTGGAGTGGGAGGAATTTCTTCTGGACCCTGCTTCCCCCTAAGGGCCACCATACCTGAACACATGAAGAAATGCCACTCTTCTGCCCTTAATCCAAATACCTGGGTTGCTTTGTTGATCTGAAGCGCTTCTTGTGGATTTGCTCCATGTTACTCTGCAACACGCTTGGGATCTTGGAGTTCTAATCAGAAACAGTTGTGTTTTGGACCAGCTCTGAAATTTCTGAACCTTAACTCTTTTGTCCCTTTTCTGTTTGGTTTCCTGCCACTGGCGTGAAGCTAACGTTAGCATACAGGGATTTGCGGCCTAGATGACTCATTAAGCAGGCAGGTTGCTTCTTTGTGAGGAGAGTTGTGTCATGTCTACAGATTTGTTGGCTATGTGTAGCTATTCCAACAATGGTCGGAGGATGAATTGATCTGGTTTCATTGTTTATGACAACACTTTGGCCTCTGAAGAAGTTTCCCTCTCACTGATTTTTAAAAAAAATTAGAACCAAGCTCTTTTTGTATTATTAAAGTTTCCAGATGTGGACCAACTGAAAATATGAGGCATGGTCTGCTTTGCTTTTGTGTTTTGCAAGGAACGTTTTATTTGGTTTAATTCACTTATACCTTTCTCCCCAGCGAGGATCCAAAGCTGCCGACATAATTCTCTTCTCTTCCATTTTATCCACACAACAATCTTGTGGGGGAAGTTTGGCTGTGAATGTGTGACTGGCCAAAGTTCACCCAGCAAGCTACCATGTCAGAGTGGGGATTCGAACCTGGGTCTCCCAGACCCTCGTCTGACATTCTGCCCTCTTCCATTTTGCAGAGGGAATGAGAGCTCCAAGGAGAATCATTGCTGGGTGGAAGCAACCCCAGAGGTAAAGCCCAGACCTGGATAGCCCAGGCAACCCTGATCTTGTCAGATCTCAGAAGCTAAGCAGGGCCGACCCTGGCAAGTACTTGGAAGAGAGACCTCCAAGGAATACCAGAGCCAGGACACAGAGGCAGGCAGTATCAAAACACCTGAAATGTCCAAGCCCCACTAGGGGTCACCAGAAGTCACTATGATTTCCAGGCACACACACACACACACACACACAAAATACTCACCAAAAAGTAGAAAATGAACATTGGAAAACAACCTTAGCCACAGCCTATCAATGTGGATAGTAGTAGACCAGAGGCAGGTGCCAGAAAATGAGAATTTAGGGCTGCCCGGTCCCTCAAGACCACCAGCGGGGACTGGAGGGGTAGGGTTGCTAGATCCAGTTAGGGAAACTCCCGGAAATTTGGGGGTGGAGCCTGGGGAGGACAGGGACCTCAGTGGGGTACAGATGCCACAGAGTCCACCCTCCAGAGCATCCATTTTCTCCAGGGGAGCTGATTTCTGTTTTCTGGAGATGAGCTGTAATTCAGAGGGATCCCCAGGCCCCACCTGGAGGCTGGCATCCCTATAATCTGGTAAATAAGATCCTCCGGACTATATGCAGGCTGCATGCCAGAACCCGGAAGCAGAATGACTGGATTCACCGTGGGAGGGCTTTCTAAGCAAATTGCACGAAATGACACATAGACATAAGGTAGGCAGGGGGAGTTAATAAGTCCTGCAGACCCTGCAAGCTTGACCTTGGGAAGAATTCCTTCCCCATCGAAAGTGGTCGGTCCCGGAGCACGCTCCCGAATCAAAGTCATCCCAAGAAAAACAGAACTGACTGCATTTCCACCCCACTCAACCTGCCTCCAGTTGCAACAGCTGCAGAGGATGTTTGGAAGGAAGCGGGGGAAATATTACAGCTTAATCGGAGCCAGGACTTGTCCTTGCCCAGCCTCAATTTCCACTACAGATTGAATCCTGGGAAGGGCATTTTTATTAGGGTTGCCAGTTGGACAAGGGGGGGGGGAGAATGAGGATTACCAAATTTCTTTGATAGTTTGGCAAGCTACTGGAGGGGAGGGGCACCCTTATTTTTTCCTGGTTTGGTTTCTATGCCTATGCACTGATCAGCTAGGGCAGTTCCGATTTAAATCACATTTGGAGAAATCTGGTTGTGTCTGAAGTCTCAGCATTGGAGTATTTCCCCCCTATCCTTCAAGAGCTGGGAAATGCTCCCAATCAAGGAGAGAACATCTAACCCTCTTCCTACCACAAGGAAACAAACAGAGATGATAAGTCCTGCCAGGACTTGAACTATAGAATGTCAGACCTATTTTGTTTTGAGCATGTGCAGAGTTCCATTTAAATGCATTGTATTTCAAACATGTTTATTCTCTCCTTTTCATTCAAAAAGGCATCGTTCTTCTTCCACCCTACTCTCTGGAACCCGCCACAAGCCCTTTCTCTGCACTTGGACCAAGGAGGATGTCCAGCATGCTGGAGTCTTCATGTCTCTTTTATTTTC